AACGATGAGTCCAACTACAGGCAGGAGGTAGAACATCTGGAGGGTTGGTGTAGAGAAAACAACCTCTGCATCAATGCGAAGAAGACCAAGGAGATGATCATCGACTTCAGAAGGAGGAGACACCCCCCTTCCCCTCCACATTGGAGGGACAGCGGTGGAAGTGGTCTCCAGCTCCAGGTACCTGGTAGTACACATCTCTGATGACCTCACCTGGAGAACCAACACTTCCTGCCTGATCAGGAAAGCACACCAGTGCCTCTACTTCCTCAGGAGACTGAGGTGTGCCGGACTAGGGAGTGCAGTCCTAACCTCTTTCTATAGATGTGTGGTGGAGGGCATTCTGTACTCCTGCATCATCGTGTGGCACGGCAGCTGCTCGGCGGCGGAGAAGAAGGCTCTGCAGAGGGTGGTTAAGGCTGCACAGAGGACCGTGGGACACACTCTCCCCACCACCACGGATATCTACACCACCAGATGCAGGAAACGGGCCTCCTGCATCATGAAAGACCCCACCCATCCCGTAAATGCTCTGTTTGCCCGCCTCCCATCAGGAAGACGGCTACGGAGCATCAAAAGCAGGACCACCAGACTGAGGAACAGCTTCTTCCCTGAAGCTGTGAGACTGTTGAACTCCGGTGGACCCCTGTCCCCCCACATTGACTCTGCCAAATACCCCCCTCCCCCCACAACCACCCCACAACAGGAAATATGTGGGCCTGCTCATGGCCTCACAACTACTGTCCCCACATTCGTCGCTCTTGTTGCCTTGACCAGGGCTGTTGTTCTTGTTCTGTCGTTGTTCTTGTCTTTTCACTTATCGCCACTTTCTCTTTCTCTCTTGCACTACGCCGAACTATTCCCCTCTGTCACTTGTACTCGAGCTGGATCCGGGGAAACTAATTTAGTTCATACCATGTCTAACGTGTTGCAATGACAATAAAGAACCTTGAGTCCTTGAGTCCTTGAGTCACTGAGCAAGGTGTTATTACAAAGGAATGCTCCAGCCAACAACAGGGGGTTAAGTGGACGGTAAGGTAATCTGGGGAGTTGGTGTGAAGAGAACTTTGAACTTCTCTTTGAATGTTTGGGGATATGTAAATGTGTGTGCTTGGGAAGGCCTTTGGTGTCTTAGCAGCTTCCTGCTTTCAGACTCAAACCAAATGTGAAAACCATTGAAATCTAACACATATCAGTGTGGCGTTCAACTAAATAATCCAGGTTACATATGCCATTACATATACTATTTTGCGCTGTTTTTTTTTTTTTTTCCAAAAACAATACACAGCTCTATTTTCACAAGATACAAGCGTGAAGCGACATCAGGCCTGCAGATTTAAATGACTCACCAGTTTGTCTGTTTTTCTGAGGTTCTCCTCAGTGAAAGATACTTTGTGGCTTCTCAGTCGGATCTTCAGAGGATCAACCGGCTGCTGGAATCACAGCTGACGGGATCGCCCTGAAGGTTAAGAAAATCCAACTTATATATCTGATTAAATTCCTGTACACTTGAATCTATGGTCTAATCAGAGTGAATAATTAACCTAATGTTTTTGGAATTTGGGAGGACACTAGAGTAACTGAAGAAAAAAAACACTATAAGAAATTAAAAGTACTTGTGTGTTATTACTTACGACCCTTGTGTCCACACTGGTCAGATAGAGGAGCTGATTTACACCTTTGGTAATCATTGGAATAGCAATGGTCCGATACAAGAGACTGACCATGAAGAAACCTGTGGAAACCTAAAACGTAAAAGTAATCATGTATCATTTGGATCAGAGTTCACTATTTAGAGTTCTAAAAGATCCACTTCCTTTATCTTCACTGTGTAGTTAAACTCTGGGCCGATGTTGTCCAAGGACTGCACTGTCGTTACAATCTCATTGGTTGAATTTGCCACATAGAAATTAATATTTGAGTGCCTGTGATAATTAACACAAAGGAAAATGATAATGAAATACCAATTTTTATTTTTAGGATTTTAAGGATTTAAATCCTTAAATTCCTGTGCATCGTATTTCACAGGAATGGATATATCAACAAGGTTGTCTGCTGGTCTTTCTTCTTTACCATCACTGTTAAAGGGTGAATAAACATTTCAGATACAAAATACCATAACCTTTTTTTTGTCATATGATTGATTGACTTCGTTTTGAATGTACCTCTTGGCTTCGAATTTCAGCTCAGCTCGGTTTTGAAGTTGATCAAGACTGTATTCAAAATTGATCTGGAATTTCTCCTGCAAATTTAAAAAAAATGTTTGTAGTTTTTGAGTACTGAGAATAAAAGTCTAAAGTGATTTTTTTTGGGTTTTTTTAGAACTCACCTCCTGCTTAGATTTTAACGCTGGGCATCCGACCAGGCAAACGACTGTCTGTGTTTGTGTTTGACTCTGTCCGCCTGAAAAGTTTTCAACAAAAAAATCTGAATGTTTTTTTCTCACATACATTCTTACATTTGTGATATAATTGATAATTGTTTTTAAGAGGTTGTTAAAGAGTGTACCCCAAAAACTCACAGGAGGGAAGATGGAGGAGTAGTAGAGGTTACACAACAACTTGGAATGACAGCTCCCTGTCAGTAGCGCTGACCAGAACAGGAGCCGAGCTGAAACGGGAAAAAACTAACATTACAGTCAACTGTAAGAAGCAAACTACAGTTAACAAAGTAATTACAAATAAGTCTATATATCACTTGTGGAGTTTAAAGAAAGAATTAAAATGCTATGCTTTTTAATAATTAATGAAATAATTAATTAATGAAAGCTTTTTTTTATATACAAAACTAACCCAACAGAGGAAAATGTAAAGTCATTACAAAGAGGAAACAAGAAAAGGTCAAACAGTTGGTAGGAATCACCAGGAAACCACAACAGCAGTGGAAAAAAAGCCTTAAATACAACTATCCTCCTCTTTTTTTTAAAGGACTCATGGCAAAGACATCATCTTGTTTTGTTGCACTTTTCCTCTGAACATCTGCTTCAGTTGCACAACAGAAATCTGATACTGCCATCAAGTCAAGTCGATCATGATGTGAGCAAAAAGTATCCGAGTACTGCACATATTTCATAGTGTATATGTACTACATGTTAAAAAGGACGTGACATGCTGACCTGGTTGCCTTAGAAATGGTCGTCACTCTCAGCACCAAGTCACTGTTACATACTTCATCCAACCCACAGTCTTTAGTAAAGGGGATCTGGAACAACAATAATGTTTCCACGACATAATTGTTTCCACGACTAAATATCTGTCGTGTAACTGTAAAACATGCGTGACCTACTGAAAAGTTGTGCTTTAGGTACTGAGGAATTATGACACACACAACATGTAATTTAAAGTTTTTGTAGGTTCTTCAAAATAATAATAATTTTTAGACAAAATATCAACAAAAAAACCCAACAGAATCTTGTATGTTCATGTGTCACTTACAAAAAACTGAGAGGCAGTGGGAGAAAACATGTCAAGGACCGGATTAGCATCTTTATTCCAATAGGTCAACACTAAATAATAAAGAGAGTTGTTTGTTTTTTGGATTAGCTGTGGATTTCTACACTTTATCTCTTGCTCAACTTGCTCAACTCATCGTATCAGGGTCCAAGTCACAGCAGTAACATTCACATAGAAACAACGCCAGAACACACCTTTCCCCGTCCACACCCATCGCTGTAAGATACTGCTAAAGGCTTCTGGGAGATTCCTTCACTGTCTCTCTTGTGACTCTTACCACAGTCCACATTGGTTAGGAGAAAAAGGGAAAAGAGGAAGGATAGAAGTGTTGGTCTGAAATTTGGAACTCTAAATGTAGGTACAATTACAGGGGAAAGTAGAGAACTAGCTGATATGATGGAGAGAAGAAGAGTAGACATTTTGTGTGTGCAGGAAACCAGGTGGAAGGGCAGCAAGGCTAGAAAAATTGGAGGAGGCTACAAACTATTTTATCATGGTTCGGATGGTAAGAGAAATGGAGTAGGGGTGATCCTAAAGGAAGAATATGTAAGAAATGTGATAGAGGTGAAACGAGAGTCAGGCAGGTTGATGTGTGTGAAGGTAGAAATAGAAGGAGTGATGATAAATGTTGTTAGTGGTTATGCCCCACAGGTGGGCTGTGAGTTGGAAGAAAAGTAGAAGGATTGAGTGATAGAGGGCATCCCCAGGGGAGAGAGAGTGGTGATTGGAAAATACTTTAATGGTCAGGTAGGGGAAGGGAACAGAGGTGATGAGGAAGTGATGGGCAGGTTTGGCATTAGGGATAGAAACTTTGAAGGACAGATTTTGCAAAGAGATTTCGCAAAGAGAATGGGAATGGCAGTGGTAAACACCTATTTCCAAAAGAAAGAGGAACACAGGGTGACTTACAAGAATGGAGGCAGGTCCACACAGATAGATAATATTCTATGTAGAAGAGATAATCTGAGGGGGATTAGAGACTGGAAAATTGTGTCAGGCAAGAGTGTAGCCAAACAACATCGGATGGTAGTGTGCAAGATGACGATGGAGGTGAAAAAAAGGAAGAGAGTAAAGACAGAGCAGAAGATGTTGTGAAGAAGATTTCAAGATTCAAGATTCAAGAACTTTATTGTCGTTGTGCAAGCATAACGAGATTTTTTCCGGGCTCTCGGCAACAATCAACATGGATAAAAGTAATAAAGTAAGAAGTAATAAAAAGGAGAGATATAGAAAGATATTGTACAAAAACCGAGCAGTGCAAATAAAAGCGAGCAGTGCAAAAACAGAGGTAAGTATAGTGAGCTGAAATTTAACAGAACCAGGCAGTGCAAAACAGAGGTAAAACAAAGGAACTATGGCATGAGGTAGATGTAAAGAGCAGTGCAAAACAGAGATGAATGTAAATATGATCATGAGGATAATGTACAATGTATAATGGCCTTATTTGTAAAAGAAAAGAAATACTCCAAATGCTCCCTATTTTTATTTATTCTTCACTTGGGTCCTTGACATTTCTTACCTAGTTTCTCTCACAATTTGTCTGTAAAGGGACTACAGAGTTAATCACATCATATAGGTTTAATGAGATCACTAATAATCTGTAGTCAGTCCATATTTCAATTTTGTACTCCATTCTTCAGGAATAAATTTGTTATATTGCCAGATGGCAGTGGTGGCTAAGTGGGAAGCAGACTTGGGTCCGGAAGGCTTCAGGTTCAAGTCCACCAGCTCCCAAGTTACTGCTAAGGTGCTCTGAGCATGTCACTATCCCCACACACTGCTTAAAGCTGCCCACTCTTCACTTCGGTGATGGGTTAAAAGCAGAGTTCACATTTCATTGTGCTGTGTCACAAGAGTTCACTTTCCTCCTTTCTTCCTACATGCACATAACTCTTTATTACTTTGAGTTTCATAATGCTGTCCACACCATATACGTTACCTTAGTGCTGTGGTCCTCAAATATTTAATGTCATGCCCCCCTTTTGGACTGTGGGGACTCTGTCCGATGTTTCAGAGGAAATTTAGTTAGTGGTCGACATTAAATCCTAGGTTTTTAGTCCATTAAAGTTAACAATACCTTTGTCTGTTTACCCGTCTTTAGAGTCTGCTGCTGCCCGCTTCACCCCTGACCATCACTCTGTACAAGATTGCCAACAGAGCCCCGCTTTACCTAAACAGGCCCTGCTTCCTCCAGTTTTACTAACTGGACCTTCTAATGAACGAGTCAAAAGTCCCGCCTCATCTTCATCTTCATCCTCCTCGTCCTCTTCTTCTTCCTTGTCTTCCACTCCTGTAGCTCTGGCCAAGCCACCGAGAACTGTTTCCTTAATAATTGACAACACAGCTAGAACCTTCCATCCCGTTCCCCCCTCTACAGACTCTGACACACCACCTCCTGTCCCTCCTCATGCCAAGCAGCCACCTGTCCGGAACAGTGACACACGAATAGCACGAAAGGAAGTGACGTTCCCTCAGGTGCTGTGGGAACCGGCAGTAACACTGAACTCTCCGATGGGTTTTAATCGTTTTCACTCCATTATTTTGGGTTAACAGTCGTTCACATTAGTGCTGTTTGTGGCCGCGGGCTCTTGTTTTCATTAGAGAGGCTGTAAAGGCCTCATGACGTGCTGTCATCAGCGTAAGGATGGTGACAAAAATGAAAGAGAAGGTTTAGATCATATGTGTCCAACTCAGGGCCCGCGGTCCAAATGCGGCCCGCCAAGTCATTTTGCGTGGCCCACTGGAGCTTAAAAAAGTTAAATTACCTGCTTCCGTGCTGCTGAGTTTCTTAACTTGACAAAAATATATTTCACAGAGCAGTGAACAATATTTGATACTGAAACCTGTATTAATACACTATGACTGGTTGTGGTGTGTTGTACCAAATTGCTGAGTGAATGAGTTGATGGTTTGAATGCAGAGGACACATTTCAAATGTACAACGACGATAAAGGAGATTCCTCTTCCTCTTCCTCTTCCTCTTCCTCTTCCTCTTCCTCTTCCTCTTCCTCTTCCTCTTCCTCTTCCTCTTCCTCTTCCTCTTCCTCTTCCTCTTCCTCTTCCTCTTCCTCTTCCTCTTCCTCTTCCTCTTCCTCTTCCTCTTCCTCTTCTTCTTCTTCTTTGTCTTCTAATCACTTTTCTCTATCTAATTCTTCCCCTCTCTCTCCTCTCAGGCCAGTTGATTGAGCGAGTTCTGCTCTCCTCCATGTTGAACCCCAGTGAACAGTGGCAGACGTATCGTCACCACGGGCGGATTCTCAGCCTGGAATATCGTCTCCGCTTCCGTTGTGACTCCAACTACTACGGACCGTTCTGTAACAAGTTCTGCCGGTCCCGCGACGACTTCTTCGGCCATTTTAACTGTGACCACAGCGGCTCCAAGGTCTGCATGGACGGTTGGACCGGGCATGAGTGCAAAGATGGTGAGGGAGTGAATAATATTTCAAAATGTAAAAGACAAAAATGCCTTGATTGATTTCGATCTGGAATTTATTTTAATAGAATTTTTCTCTAAATTCCAATCTATTTGTAAGAACACCGTGTCCTGCTCAGATCATATTTATAACCAACAAAATAAATCACCAGTTTTTTTTTCTAAAGGCCAGAAAGCTTTTCTCGTTTTCTCATCAATGGTCTTGGCCTGAATTAAGCCAGCCACTAGGGTACACGAAGCCGTGTTTATAGTGCCGGTCCCAAGCCCGGATAAATGGTGAGGGTTGCGTCAGGAAGGGCATCCGGCGTAAAACGTTTAGCTAAATCAAATATGCAGATCAATAAAACGATTTCTATACCGGATCGGTCGAGGCCCGGGTTAACAACGACCGCCAACAGTGCCGTTGACCAACAGGGCACTGATGGAAATTGGACTACTGTTGGTCAGAGACAGAGTCAGAGACAGAGAAGAAGAGGAGGGCGTTTGGTTAGGAGAAAAAGAGAAAAGATGAAGAATAGAAGTGTTAGTCTGAAGTTTGGAACTTTGAATGTAGGTACAATGACAGGGAAAAGTAGAGAAATAGCTGATGTGATGGAGAGAAGAAGAGTAGATATTTTGTGTGTGCAGGAGACCAGGTGGAAGGGCAGTAAGGCTAGAAACATTGGAGGAGGCTACAAACTGTTTTATCATGGTTCAGATGGGAAGAGAAATGGAGTAGGGGTGATCCTAAAGGAAGAATATGTAAGAAATGTGGTAGAGGTGAAAAGAGAGTCAGACAGGTTGATGTGTGTGAAGGTAGAAGTAGAAGGAGAGATGATTAATGTTGTTAGTGGTTATGCCCCACAGGTGGGCTGTGAGTTGGAAGAAAAGGAGAAGTTCTGGAAGGAGCTAGATTGGATGGTAGAGAGTATCCCCAGGAGAGAGAGAGTGGTGATTGGAGCAGACCTAAATGGTCATGTAGGGGAAGGGAACAGAGGAGATGAGGAAGTGATAGGCAGGTTTGGTGTTAGGGAGAGAAACGTAGAAGGACAGGCAGTGGTAGATTTTGCAAAGAGAATGGAAATGGCTGTGGTAAACACATATTTCCAAAAGAAAGAGGAACATAGGGTGACTTACAAGAGTGGAGGCAGGTCCACACAGATAGATTATATTCTATGTAGAAGATGTAATCTGAGGGAGATTAGAGACTGTAAGGTGGTGGCAGGTGAGAGTGTAGCCAAACAACATCGGATGGTAGTGTGTAAAATGACGATGGAGGTGACAAAAAGGAAGAGAGTGAAGACAGAGCAGAAGATCAAGTGGTGGAAACTAAGGAAAGAGACATGTTGTGAAGACTTCAGGAAGGAAGTAAGGGCAGTTCTGGGTAGTGTTGAGATATTCCCAGATGATTGGGAGACTACAGCTGCAGTGATGAGGGAGACAGGTAGGAAGGTGCTAGGTATGTCCTCTGGGCAGAGAAAGGAGGACAAAGAGACCTGGTGGTGGAATGAGGAGATCCAGGAGAGTGTGCAGAGAAAGAGATTAGCGAAGAAGAGATGGGACAGTGACAGAACAGAAGAGAACAGACTGGAGTACAAAGAGAGGACAAGGGAGGTGAAGAGGGAAGTGGCCAAGGCCAAACAAAAGGCATATGAGGAGTTGTATGAGAGTTTGGAAACAAAGGAAGGAGAAAAGGAGTTGTATAGATTGGCGAGACAGAGAAATCAAGCTGGGAAGGATGTGCAGCAGGTGAGGTTGATTAAGGACAGAGAGGGGAATGTGATCACAAGTGAGGAAAGTGTGCTGAGAAGATGGAAGGAATACTTTGAGGAGTTGTTAAATGAGGAAAATGAAAGGGAAAGTAGAAACGAGGAGCCAGAGACTAGTAGGAAGAAGGTAGATCAGGTTAGAAAGGATGAAGTTAGAAAAGCCCTGAAGAGGATGAAGAGTGGAAAGTCAGTTGGTCCTGATGACATACCAGTGGAAGTATGGAAGTGTTTAGGAGAAGTGGCAGTAAATTTCCTGACTGGTTTGTTTAACAGAATTTTAGAGACTGGCAAGATGCCTGATGAGTGGAGAAAAAGTGTTCTGGTGCCAATTCATAAGAAGGGTGATGCACAGAGTTGTAACAACTACAGAGGGATAAAGTTGATGAGCCATACAATGAAGATTTAGGAAAGAGTAGTTGAAGCTAGGTTGAGGCAGGAAGTGGAGATTTGTGAACAACAGTATGGTTTCATGCCTAGGAAGAGTACCACAGATGCAATATTTGCCTTGAGGATGTTGATGGAGAAGTACAGGGAAGGTCAGAAGGAGCTGCATTGTGTATTTGTAGATCTAGAAAAGGCATATGACAAAGTGCCAAGGGAGGAATTGTGGTTTTGTATGAGGAAGTCAGGAGTGGCAGAGAAGTATGTTAGTTTGGTGCAGGACATGTATGAGAATAGTACAACAGTAGTGAGGTGCGCTGTTGGGAGGACAGAAGACTTCAAAGTGGAGGTGGGACTACATCAAGGATCGGCCCTGAGCCCCTTCTTGTTTGCTGTGGTGATGGACAGATTGACAGATGAGGTCAGACAGGAGTCCCCATGGACTATGATGTTTGCAGATGACATTGTGATCTGTAGTGAGAGTAGGCAGCAGCTAGAAGAGAACCTAGAGAGGTGGAGGTTTGCACTAGAAAGAAGAGGAATGAAGGTCAGTCGCAGCAAGACAGAGTACATGTGTGTAAACGAAAGGCAGAACAGTGAAATAGTGAGGCTACAAGGAGCAGAGGTGGTGAAGGTGCAGGAGTTTAGGTACTTAGGATCAACTGTTCAGAGCAGCGGAGACTGTGGAAGAGAGGTGAAGAATAGAGTACAGGCAGGATGGAACAGCTGGAGAAAAGTGTCAGGAGTGATCTGTGACAGAAGAGTGTCAGCTAAGGTGAAGGGAAAGGTTTACAGGACAGTGGTGAGACCAGCCATGATGTATGGTTTAGAGACAGTAGCAATAGGCAGAAGACAGGAGGAGGAGCTGGAGGTGGCAGAGTTAAAGATGCTAAGATTCTCTTTAGGAGTGACAAGAATGGACAGGGTCAGGAATGAGGTCATTAGAGGGACAACACAGACAGGAAGGTTTGGAGAAAAAGCTAGAGAAGCCAGATTGAGATGGTTTGGACATGTGCAGAGGAGGGACAGTGGATACATTGGTAGAAGAATGTTAGAGATGGAGCTACCAGGTAGGAGAAAGAGAGGAAGGCCAAAGAGGAGATATATGGATGCAGTGAGGGAGGACATGCAGATAGTTGGAGTCAGAGTAGAAGATACAGAGAACAGGGAGAGATGGAAATCAATGATTTGCTGTGGCAACCCCTGAAAAAAAAAGGGACAAAGCCGAAAGAAAAAGAAGAAGATTGTTGGATCTGTTTTGTTTGACGTTTTTGTTATAAAAACGAATTCACCATCTACCGGCTGTTTCCATTCCTTGCCTGAAGACAACTTGCACAGCAAGAATCTTTCACCCTGAAAAACAGACAAGCTGAAAGTAAAAAAGTAGTAGGTCCTATCCACAACTTAGTTACAGAGTTTTCCCAAATGTTTTAACACAGTTTGTTATGGATTATGAATAATATCTAAAACGATCAAAGCACCAATGTGCACCACTTTGCCATAGGCACCGACAGAAACATCCGGAAGTGTATCATCGTTCAGATCTGCGTAGCAATCACGAGACCTTCCGAAATACTGCACCTGAGGATCCAGTTTAGAGCCAAGGATTCGCTAACACATACAGTTCCTCCCCTTACCTGTGAGTACTGTTTGTTTAAAGTTTTCTTCTCTCCATTGTAGATGTAAATGACACCTCTCTGTTTGTCCTCCAGTGGTGCACCAACCACAACGTCACTGTAGCCATCATGATTCACAGCAGAGATAGCCATCCCGAAATGTAGAGGTGGACCAATGAGGAGACCCTGCTCATTCAGTATACCCTAGAAATTGTATGACAAAGCTAGGTTTAAAGAAGTCCATCCATCCATCCATCCATTTTCATCCCCAAATCCGTTACCGGGTCGCGGGGGCAGCAGTCGCCACCCAAATCACACACACACCGTACCAACCCCCCTGAACCTTCCTGCGGGTGGTGAGTCCACTGGAAGGTACCAACCGCCCTAACCAGGATTCGATCTTGCCCAGGAGGTGTACCCTAAGGTTCCAGACCAATGACAGAGACATTGCCTCTGGGCCAAAGCGCCACGGTTTGAAGAAATACATGTCGTAAATAACATCTGATATCTGGATCCCTTCATTTTCCCCTTAAACTTTTAAACTTTCACATTTGTACCTTAGTGACAGAGAAAACGTAGACCCTGCCTTCTTCTCTCTTCTGCTCGCTCATGAACATCGGTGCACTGACCAGAAGAAGGTCCGTGACCCCGTCATTGTCCACGTCCAGGGAGCACAGGATGCTACCAAAATATGAGCCAATCTACGACACAGTACATTTGCCAAATATTTATTGCTGATAATAAAATTTGATTATTTGGTTACAGATCACATTTATACAACATTGCTTATTGGTTTATTTTTAATGCTAATATCTGACCTACTTCCCCCTTTCAGAATCTATCACGGCAGTTTTCTTCTGAGCGTTGAGGGTGTAGACGATAATTTGTCCAGAGTGGTGGGAATGCGGTGCACCAGCCACAAGGTAAACCATAGAGCCATCAGTCAGAGTAGTGACGGAGTAACCTGGAGGTGTCGACAAGGAGACACACACGTTGTCATCTGGACTCTACAACAATTTTTTAACAAAGCTAAATAACAGTTAAATACAATTGAAGAAAAAAAATATTACAACTTTTTAAACTAGCTTTTTAGAACTACAAGGCTAACATGATAGCTTTATTAATGAAGCTTTATTCGATATTAACATGTAAATATTTAAAATAACATAACAAGAATGTAGAGGCAGACCTAGTAATGAGCTGTCGTTTTTGTCCTGTAGTGTCCCTCAAACGCTGAGAAAGGAAGTTCTTCAGACTGTAACTCTTTCTGATGGATCACAGTCCCCTTCCAGGCATTTGCTCCCACTGCTCCCAGTATCATCACATCCTGAAAGAACACAATTATTCTAGTAAAATATGTCAGACTGTTCATTAACATATGTTTTTCATAGTTGCACCACCCTTATGTACTTTTCTGCCACTCCTGAGTAGCATCACGTTAACTTTGTATTCCTCTGTCAAGAAAGGTTGAGCTCAGTATCCAGAGGTCACAAACCGAGTGTATCATAGCAGGCAAAAAGAAATCATACTAGTTCCGTATTTAGTAGTAGTAAATGTGTTACAAAAACATGTTGAGGCATGTCTCTAATCCAGGGAGTTTACAGGAGATCTGGGGAAGTACTCAGTGCTTTATATGAACCAATGAAACATAAATGCGTGTGTGATTTCTTTGAAATAAAATAATTTATATTTATTATAATTTTTACATATATCTGCATGTAACGCAATATAGGGAATGTGTCTGAATAAGACTAAAAGATTGATCCTCTGACTTGAAATGTTTACTATGGTAAGAAGTCAGAAGAAGAGCTTAAAGCTGAAATCAACAAATGAAGAAATGTTGTGATTAACATTATGATTCTCAAATGTGTGTAATAAATAAAAAGAAGAAGTGCTGTGCTATAATGTCAGTTATAGGAACAACTGAAAAAAGAGAAGTGTATAAACTGTCAAAAAGATAGGGACAGTTACAGGAAAGATGTCCAGGTCATGACACACTCTGGCTGGTGTGCACAGGTGTCCCATAACAACAGGAACAGACATCTTGAAGACCTAAAAAGGAGTGAATGATTTTTCACATACAAGAAGAGTCTACAACGGTGGCTCGGGTTGAGTGTCGATACACAGCTGAAAACTACAAACACTGCCTGGATTTGAAGTTTGAAAGCATTCCTGAGAACGTTGCTTTCCATCTCACATGCTACCGGAGGTTTATTGACAAGAGTGCAATTGCAAAAGTGAAAAGGCGTCTCGAGTGTGTGAGTGAGAGAGAGGAGAGGATACGGAAGACGGCTCAAGAAGTGAGGCCATCCCATCAACATCGAGCAGGACGACTCCGAGTCCGACAAAGAAACTGACCCAGGTCAGGCCGTTACTATTAATTTTCTTATGCTGTTTTGTACTGTTTTATATTTGTTTTAATAAATAATGTTTTTTTATGGTTGATCAGTGTTGAATTTAGTTAGGAACGAATAAATGAATGATTGAATAAACAAATGGTCCTTGTCATTGATTACTTCCTTTTATTGATCAAAATGACTTAACAGAAAGTTCACCTTATCGTCTATTTGCCTTATTGTTCTTCGTGTATAAAGCACTGTTTAGAATCCATTTGGCCCACTTTAGAAGACTTTTGGGAGAATTCCTCTATCGGTAACGTTAAGTAGAACCTCGGAGGAAGCCGTGTTGCCGGAAGTGTTGACATCAATCAGCTACTCGATTGGTCTAGCACATACAGTAAGTGTCAAACTCAAGGCCCGGGGGCCAAATGTGGCCCGCCAAGCCGTTATGTGTGGCTCGTGGGTGCTTAAAAAGCATTCCATGCAGCAGAGTTTCTTAACCCTTCCCTCATATTCTGTATACACCCCATGTCCTCCGGGTCAAAATGACCCATCTTCACTAAACCTTCAATATAAGTGGCTTAATTGAATTCTAAACATCAAATCTTATTTTGCTTGAAGAAACAACTTGTCATTCACCACAAATTGTGTGAATACCTGAGTTTTCCATCTTCACCTGGCAGAAAGACTGCATTTATTTAAGACACCACTCATTGCTATGACACTGTCAATTGTATTATTGTTTACTGTATGTGTTAAGCAATATTTGTATAGTATTTCTATAGCTTAAGAAAGAATAGAAATGTGCAAAAAGGAGTTTTGAATGCTAAGATTAGCAGCCTTAAGTAGGCATGCAGGTCAGTCTCATCCATCCTTTTCCAGCTCTTGCCATATTTGCAAAAACTCTCCAGATTTGTCATCTCCAGGATTAATTTTTCTATTGCTGGAGTGATGAACTGGTAGAGTGTTGAGACACTGCATATCTTGTGGGTCCTGGGGTCATCTGCATGACATTTTGTTTTGCCGCCCTGCCATGTTTGTCATATGCTGCCGAGGACCATGTTATTTTGCCGTTGTTTGAAAAGCTTCAGGGATTTCTTCTTCTTCTGAAGATGATTCATCATGCTCTGGGTTGTATTCCTCCCCATCTTCTTCTTCTGATACATCATCAACTCTTCTGAATCAGAGTTGTCTTGTTGGACATCTGATAAATCAGCTCTAGAGCCTGTTCAATATTATAACGTGCACTCACGGCTTCAGTACAGAGAGAATTCGGGGTACTGTCATCTGCCGCACCTTTATATCCTCTGGGAGTCCACACAGACAAAGGGGCAATATTGTTACATTTGGGTCAGATCGGCTCACAGGCAGTGCAGGCCGCGAGAAGACCACCTGTCTTGTCTTGTTTTCATCTGCTAATCATTGATCTCAGACAGAACTAAAACACTCTCACATTCTGTGGTGTGTAACTAACTCTGTGACTGTGATTTCAACTCAATTTGACTATCGAAGACAATAGTTGTACCTTTTTTTGTTTAGCTTACGTGGAAATATAAATAAAGGCAACAATTCACTTTTTCTAATGTTGGGGTCTATAAAAAGTCATCAAATTTCAAAGTTGAAAAAATATTTAGGGGATTTTTATTTGGTTTTTAACACAGTAGTCACAGTCATTTTGACCCGAGGACAACAGGAGGGTTAACCTAAGAAATTTAAAGTTTTTATAATCAATCAAATAATAATCAATTGCAGAAACATGTATTAGTCTGTTATGGAGTAGTTACAGTGCCGTGAAAAAGTATTTGCTCCCTTCCTGATTTCTGTGTTCTTTGCATATTTATCACACACAAAGGTTTCAGATCATCAAACCAATTTTAGTATCATACAGAGACAACCCAAGGAAATACGAAATACAGATTCTAAATGATGATTTTATTTACCAAGGGGGGAAAAAATTACAAACCTATCTGGCTCTATGTGAAAAGGTAAATGCCTCCCCGACCCCTTGTTAAATCACAAAGTAACTGTGACTTGGTTAGTCAATTACTTTTTTGGGAAAGCTAAGTTCCATTTCACAGGCCACACCCAAACCTGATTACCACCACATGTGTTGAATCAAGAAATCACTGAAATAGAATCTGTCAGACAAAGTGAATTAGGCTACAAGATCTCAAGAACAAACGCAGCATGCCACTCCAAAGAAATTCAAGAAGAAATGAGAAAAAAAAGTGATTGAAATCTATCGGTCAGGAAAAGGTTATATAGCCATTTCCAAGGCTCTGGGGCTCCAGTGAACCACTGTCAGAATCATTAGACAGTGGCAAACCTTCCCAGGAGTGGTCGACCAACTAAAATTACTCCAAGAGTGCGATGACGACTCATCCAGGAGGTCACAAAAGAACCTAGAACAACATCCAAAGTACTGCAGGCCTCGCTGACTCTACCATAAGAAAGACACTGGCCAAAACTGGCATCCATGGGAGAATTCCCAGGCGAAAACCACTGCTGTCAAAAAAGAACACAAAGGCAAATGACATTTGCCAAAAGACATCTTGATGATCCTCAAGACTTTCTGTGGACTGACGAGTCAAAAATTAAACTTTTTGGAAGGTGTGCAGCCCGTTACATCCGGCGTACAAATGGCACAAAAGAAAATGGCACAAAAAAACAAAAGCATGGTGGTGGCAGTGTGATGGTCTGGGGCTGCTTTGCTGCCTCAGGACCAGGACTACTTGCTGTGATTGATCGAACAATGAATTCTGCTGTCTACCAGAAAATCCTGAAGGAGAATGTCCGGCCATCCGTTTGTGCCGTCAAACTCAAGTGCTCTTGGATGCAGCAGGACAACGATTCGAAACACACCAGCAAGTCCACCTCTGAATGGCTCAAAAAAAATTAAGGTTTTGGAGTGGCCAAGTCAAAGTCCAGATTTAAATCCAATTGAGATGCTGTGGTATGACCTTAAACTGGCAGTTCATGCTAGAAAACCCTCCAATATGGCAGAGTTGAAACAATTCTGCAAAGAAGAGTGGGCCAAAATTCCTCCACAGTGATGTGACAGACTCATCACCAATTATCGCAAACGCTTGATTTCAATTATTGCTGCCAAGGGTGGCACAACCCGTTATTAGGTTCAGGGGGCAATTACTTTTTTTGGTGCCTTAATAAATAAAATCATCATTTAGAAACTGCATTTTGGATTTCCTTGGGTTGTCTCTGTGTGATATTACAATTGGTTTGATGATCTGAAACGTTTGTGTGTGATAAATATGCAAAGAACACAGAAATCAGGAAGGGGCAAATTCTTTTTCACGGCACTGTACATCTATACCAGCGGTCCCCAACCTTTTTTGTTCCAAGGACTGGTCAGCCAGTACCACCTGTTACTACAGACTGGTAGCAAGGTACTAAACGTTGAAGGATCGTTCAATTTTCAAAGTAAAATATCTCTCAGACTCTATTCTGTTTGTATCAGAGTCTGAATGACCTATTATTTTAAAATATTGCCAGATTATCTGAGAGATTCTTGCTGTGCGAGGTGTCTTCAGGCAAAGAATGGAAGCAGCCGGTAGATGGTCGATTCGTTTTAATAGCAAAACGTCAGTCAAAAAAGGGCCAACAATAAAGCAAAATAAACG